TAAACTCAAAAGAAGAAGAAAAATCCACTATAAATCATTACATGCAATTTCTCTATTTGGTGTTGCACACATAGAAATGGGGGTGTATGACCTCATTTTAATTACTCTTAATTTTATATTAACTAAGTAATTTCATATGCATAGAATCAGGTCAAATTGTGTAACTACTTTACATTGCACGCTAATCAAATTTTAAACTTTATATTTATCTAATATTGTCATATAAATATTGTCCAAATGTTGGACGAGACATAACTATTGAGATAAAAAATTTCACTTATAATTATTTAACTTCTTCTTTACAAGTAAAATTCACATCCACACATAATTTTAACTTTCAAATACATATTTTTCAACTTCAACTTCAATTGATCTATTTTTCAACTTTAATCAAATTTTATCCAAATGCCAACAGTAAAGTATGTTTTTTTATGTTATGTAATTAAAATTAAAAATGAAAGTTGATATAGAAATAGCCACAAAATTAAATAAAAATATCAATGTAGTAATATGGCAAAACAACGAAATAAATTAGTAAGTAGTAAGTAATATATTAAACTATACTATTTCACTTTTAGAAGGAAGAAAAAGAAGAAACGTAATTAGCATGGGAAGGTGTAGGCAAATAATCTGGTTTTGGTGTCAGGCAGTACGCCTTTGGCTGTGAAAAGCCACATATATCCTGACATCAATTATAGCATGACAAATGGACGGAGAGTTGACACTTATCAGAAGAATGTGATACTGGTTGATGATAAGTAAGGGGTAGTTTCGTCAAAAGTACTAAAACTTCTATGTAGCAGCTATAGTGGATTCTTTTTTTCCAGCCAATCGTATTGCTACGCTTTATTGAAATTATAAAATTACCCTTATTTTGACAGGCAAGCATGTTGACCTTGAGGTGCCTGTATTCCCTCTTATTAGTAAGTAGTAAATAATTTATGAACCTACCTCGGCAAAAAAGTATTGTTACTATTCTTTTTAATGAAATAAGAAGAGGATGCATAAGCGGGAAAAATAGAAGAAGAAGGAAACGAGAAAATGCAAATGATATGATTTTTGTTATTCGAACAATCAAGACATTTGTATTTAAATTAGAAATTCACACACAATAGGAAAAAAAAAAACTAAAGAACATGTCCTTTTGGTATAACCCCGAAAAGGAATAGTGCATCAGGATTGCTCTCTACTATGAACCCTCAACCCTACGAATCTTAGGGATGGGTATAAATTTTGAAAAATCGAATTCCGAACCAAACCGAATTAATTTGGTATTTCGGTTTCAGTTTTTTCGGTTTCGGTTTATTTCGTTACAAAAATTTCGGTATTTCAATACCTTATACGGTATTGGATTTTTGATATTTCGGTATTTCGAAATACCGAAATAGTTTAGTCCAAGCCCAACTTTATTTTTATTTTTTAGCCCAATAACCTTTAGCCCACACCCCAAAAGTCCAAAACTCCTAATTCCCTAATCCCTTGAAATATTCCTGCCTTGAACAAACTAAAACTTCTCCGATAAAGAAAAAAAAAACATATTACAGTATTTACTATAAAGCCTCAAAATAAATAACATAAATTACTCAAAGGGCGAAAACTATTCACGGAATAAGATACATAAGATAAACAACCTAGTTTAACAATTTGAAGCAAGAATGAAACTCATAGACTAAAGAACACAGTAGTTGGATCATTTTCACACACTAACGACTCTAAATCTCACAAAAATTCGTGGAGACAAATTGCAGCCCGACAGTCATTGACTGATCTTCTTCTACTCAAACTCAACGTGTATTGCCTTTCGTCTCTTCTATTTACACAACCCGAGAACTTAAGATTGATCTTTGGTGGAATCTCAAACAACATGGGTTTCATTAGTTAATGGAGTGGGGAGACAGTGAAGATTTAGTTTAAACCGAAACCGTACCGAACCAAAATAAGAAATACCAAACCGTACCAAAATACTTTGGTACGGTATTTGGTATGCACAATTGATAAACTGAATACTGAAATACCTAACCAAAATTCTTAAATACCGAACCGAAATACCGAATTCTCACCCCTAACGAATCTTCATCTTCAATACCCCCCAAACCGCCTGATATTGCCTTCCAATCTACAACACGACAGGATGGTGGAGAAGCTAAAACGTCTTATAGAGACATGCTAACATCCTCAGACCATATGGATTTTGCCCCAAACGTGAGCCAATCCAACATGGAGCTGTCAGGAACTTTTCCAGAAGAAGGGGGTGAAGCACTGACCAATTTAATACACTCTACCACACGAGGCATTAGGTTGATCACATTGACGGA